CTTTCCACACAGAGGAATTACATGACATTTTTGTTATTTGCACTTATAACAATTTTTCAGTGAAGAGCAGAAAAGTTGAGGGGTTTAAAAGTTTTTTTCAGTGCCACACTTCCATTCTTCTCATTTGCTCACACACAAAAGCTTTTATGAGTGTTATTCCTATGATTTACATTCACTGGCCCAGGATTACTATACTATTTCAGTATTTCAGTAAAACAGGTTGCATTATATGTAATCTTTTTTCTTCTTCTTTTCCTTAGCTGAAAACATGGTATAGCTTTTTTCATAAACACTTATTTTTTATGTAAAAGGGGAGTGCAAATGTTCATCAGCTTTTGGCCACCATAAATTAATATGACATATTTCCTAAGGTGGGAAGATTTTAAAAGGTACAAGGAGGTGGCCCTAGCTTCAGAAGCCAGGAGTTCTGCTCCCTCAGGAAAACATCTGTAACAGCTCAGTCCTTCGGACAGAGGCAAGATGCTACCACTCAGCTAATGATAGGCATTTGGCTTCTTTTGGAGAACCTTTTGCATACTTTTGATTAAAGCAGAAGTTGCAGTGCCATATGTGACGTGACATGGCAGTAGTGGTGTGTGCATACTGTGTGGATACAGATTTTCATGTCTGAGTGTGAATGATTTTCACATCAGCTTTTTCAGGTAGTGCCGAAACCACCACTGATCACAATAGTTCAGGATCATAGTTGAGTAATGCAAGAAATACACAGTTTGCTGTGCTGTGTCGGAGCAGTCATTCGTGTCATCTAATCTCTCATAATAGCCTGGTAACAGATGGTTCAACAGGAACATTGAGACGATGATACAGTGGACAGTAATAAATTGATGATCAAGGACATTCTGTCCAACTCTCAATGACATTCGATGTGTTTTCTGAAGCATAAGGTTTTACATACCTCTAAAGTATGTTTCATCCCATAGAATGAAACAGTGAATGTTCTCATTATTAATATACAGATCTCATCTTTTCTGAAGCCAGCTGAGCTTTTCCTTGGCTGTGTTTGATTGCTGTCTAAGGCCCTACAATGTACTGCAACTGCAGCTTCTGAAATGCTAAGACATGATGGCATTTGCATCTCTCATGCTACAAACTTTCAAATGTAGAAAATCTAGCAAAGTAGGTAAATGATTAGTATTTTCCTGTAGATGAGCAACAGCATTTTCAAAACAAAGTAGCTTGGGCTTTTGAAATGAACTACTACAAAAATGTGTTTTATTTGAAGAGGTATTTTTAATAATTTTATGACCTCTAACTTCTTTATGGTTATTTTTTAATGTTTAAGGTACATATCCATATTTAGACCATCTGTAAAACGTGAAGCAGAGAAAAATAAAACTCAGTGTAAAACTATGGGACCAGCAAAAGTTGCACTGCCATCTCCAAAAAATTTTCTGAAGAAACATTCAAAGGAACCCAAGCTACCAGCAAGTAAGTGTAGACATGAAATATATGAAATGTGATGTTATTTTTTAATTTTAAAGTCAGTAACATTAATATTGAAAGTAACAGTCATGGAGAATATTTTTTTTAATTGCATAATTTTTTTATGCTGGGACAGTTTCTGTTGTTTTTTTGTAGTACCTGTCGTTCCAAAATTATTTTTCTATTTTGCAAAAATGTTTCTTATTTATTGTGTAAAATACTGAAACAAGCAACAAGAAGGTTATTTATGTGATTAGAAAACACAGTGTTTACTGTCACATGGTACAAAACCAGCTGAAATGTAAAGAAAAATTTTATCTCTTTTGACTGCAGCTATTCAGATATTGAAGGTATGTTGGCAGTATGTTCTATTCTGCTGATATTTCAGTTTGTAGTTGCATAGTTTAGATTTGTGCATCACTCTTTTCTGCAACTAAACATTAATATTAAAGTAAATAGTATAAATGGGCGTATGAAATGTGACCTAGTTGTTTTTCTAATGCTTAAAGAGATATGGAAAAAGAATGTGTGCCTTTTTTGATGGTATAAACAACACAGCTTTTACTCTTCAGCACTCATTGTCAGCTTTAATTCCACGGCATGAAATTGGCTGGCAGTGTTCAAAGCTTAGATTTTTTTGGAGGGGTGCATGTCACGGAAAATTTTGTTGCAAAATGCATCCTATCTCTGGGCACAAACCATAATTCTGGATATAAGGAGTTGATAGTCCTAACGTTCAGCCTCAAGGCTGGTTCTGCAAGGGTGGTGTGACCTCCTTAGTGCCGTTGGAGTTCTAAGTGTATTGTTGTCAGGATTTGTAATTGAGTTATAAAGTTTCATCTTGAAATACTTTTTTAGCCTGAAAAAAATAGAAGGGATTAATGGATAAAAAAAAAAGCTATCCAAGAGAATGTAGGAGTCCAGCAGCCAAATTTGTGTGCCACACACCAAATGGCCTTAGCACTGAAAATACAGGCTGTCCCAGGAGGCTTTGGAGGCTTAATGCCTTCAGCAGCATAGATTATTAGAACCTTAATGTCAGCTTTGGTCCCAGAGATCCTGCAGGCGTCTTGGGTCATTTTTGAATAAAGCCTTCACTTTTTCAGAAGAAGTGAACAGCCTTCGGTATACTGGAATGTAATACTTCATGACATCTGAGCATGAATACTTCCAACCTCAAGACCTTGTTAAACTGCTGCACTAGTATTTTAGATGGCCATAGGAAAGAAGGTTGATTTGGAGAAAGAAGGTTGATAATTTGGAGCAGTCCATAAGATCCCTTTAAAAGTACTTGTATCATAAAATAAGTATTACCTACTTCAGATTTGCTGCGTATTGAGACACAGCACTCTGACTCATTTTTCTCAGTCAAGCAGCTCACAATATTACTGTTTCAACTTCTTGATTTAGGGCTTCATAATAGCAGTCCGCACTTTGGGGTTTGCATTTGGAGTCAAAGTACCAGAGCCTCTAAATGACTATGATACATCATAGCTTTGATCCAGACTGGTGATTTCATTGCCATGATTAGATCCTAAGAGATCTTGAGAAGGAACTGTATCATAAACTCTAAAAGTTCTTGTACCTTTGTTGGATGGAATTTCATACCTACCTCAGAGAAGTTACACTGCTTAATCACCTCTTTTAAAGCGTGGTGCACTCAGCACTTGAAATTTAACCAGTTGTCACTTGTCCCAATCATTTGGGATTATGGCATTGTGTTTGTCGTGTCTGTGCTACCTTCAAAACTAGGTTTGATCCAACTCATTAAAAACTAGATTGCAAGGTCAAAAAAAACCTATTGATGTTTTTTTCATGAAGTCTGGACTAGTGTCATTCATTTAGAGTCTGATTACTCACCACTTCCTTAAAAAAGATGTGTTTCCTAACCTTCAGCTGATCTTGTATCGTTGCACTCTGGCGTTCATTCATTCATCCTGTCTCCAGAAGAAGTGGAGGTCCCAAGACAGCAAGTGTGCACTGGTGTACTGCAGATAAGGGTGAGCTAGTGCTCACTGAGAAGCTTCAGAGAGCTTGTTTCCAAAAAGGCATTGGAAGAGAAATAGATTTAAACCTGTGTGTCCTACTATACTAAGTTATGGCAAGCTCTCAGGTTGTAAAAACAAAACCCAGGAAAGCACTGGTTCGTGGGGTCAATATCAGGAAACCAGCTGTTGTAGGAATGTCAGTTGTGCTTGTTTTCTGCCAAAGAAGAGCATGAACTCAGACAACCTGAATCAAATAACTAGCTCTGATAATGACCATGAATTAGAATTATATCTAATGGGAAATATGGTGAGAAATGAATTGTCTTTCATCACGCACCCGAAGTGAGACTACTCGGGAGACTACTGACTTTATGTTGGTGCCTTGGAGAAAAAATTACACTAAAAAGGAAGAGTTTGTATAATCTCTAGAGAAAAGATTGTGAGAAGTTGTTTATGAGTGTTAGGGAGCAGCAAGAGCAGAGATTTTCCCTAAGGGGAGGTGACCCAGAATTTGAGGGCAACCACAAGGCAGGCTGGGCAGTGACCTCACCAACAGGGTCCAGTCCCATCACATGAGAGGCAGGCAAGCAGAGCGTGATGATGGTGAAAATGTGTCTTCTCAATGGCCTGGTGACTGTCAGGCAAGATGGGTAACGAGTCAGATCCATCCACTCATTCCATATAACTTCAGGAACAGGACTAGAGGCAAGTGTGACTGAGACAGCTCAGCCAGGCACTGACAGCACAGGCCTGAGCTGAAATAGTGTTCCTGAGCCTAAGTGGGTGGAGTGGATGTCTCAGGTGAGACTGGGCAGGGCTACTAATGCCTGCAGGCCCTGACAACAGCTATCTTTAGTAAAAGTAGTTTTAATTATGTTTGGAGAGAGTCCCATACTACTGCGGTTAAGAGGAAATGGGCGGCACAATTTAAGGAAAACCCATCCCAACCAACATAGTATTTCCTAAGGTTATGAAACTTCTGTTGTGCCAACCAAGCATACTCATTTTCATGAGTACATTCTCAGTCAATTCTTTCATTGTAGATACAGATGGTTTCTATTTTTTATGTAATTTTGTACATAGTTTTTTGGAAAATGTAATGACATTAAGTTGCAAAGCTCATCATGGTTCATGCTGAGAATGTTTGCATGCTTGATTCACAGGAAAAAAAGAGCAGGATAGTAAGAAATTGCCTGAATTATCAGTGCCACGAAGGACAGATCACCCAGTTATGGGAATTCAGAGTAACAAGAATTTTATAAATACAAATGCAATTGCTGCTATCACGGGACCACCTAAAAAGCCTCAACCTATTTGTGTTGATGGAAGACAGGGAGATAAATATCTGCTTCAAACTTCAGGACTTGTTCCAAAATATATTAAAAAAAAGGTAAGTTTTATTAAATTATAATGGAACTACTAGTGACAATACCTATTTTAGGTTCTCTATTGCATTCTCCTATGAAATGTTTATAAGTCTTTTTGAGATGTTTAGATGTCACTGCTTTTTATGGTAGACCTTTGAAATTCATGAAGGAGAACTCACTGGCACTGAGGTTGTGCCTTGTCTTTGCTCTGTATTCACGTACACTGCCAGCAAAAAGTTGGCAGAATGATGCTGCTAAAGCAATAGCATATGTGTTACATTGGGAACTGAGGGAATATCTAATGGAGTTCTCTGATGAATGAATGCTGGCTCTTTAGGAGAGACAGGCAGGGAAAAAGAGGAAAGGTTGCTCTTTGGTTGATGGAGCTGTTCAAATATGTGGAGCTCTTCTACAAAATTGCAACAGGCTGCTTGAACTTGTGGGTCAGGATCAGAGGAAAGGCCAGTAAGTGTCAAAACTGTGTTTGTTATGCACCATCCAGTCAAGTGAGGAACTGGATGAAATCTCTTTAAGCAACTTGAGGAAATCTTCACACTGGAGCTTCTTACAGAGGACTTCACCCTTTTGATATCTGCTGAAAGGACAGCACAATGGGATGAAAGCAATCCAGAAAGGTTCCTGGAGCATGTCAGCAGCAGCTTCTTACCACAAATGGTAGATGGACCAGCCAGCGGTTATGCTTTTCTGGTTCTGCTACTTAGAAATGAGGAAGAGCTGGTCAGAGGTGTGATAATAAGTAGTAGTCTTGGCTGCACAGGCCATGAAGTAGTTCAAGATCACCTCCTCCTCAGAGTGGCAGGCTGTAGTGTAGAGACCCTATATTTCAGGAGAGTAAATATCATCTTATTCAGGGAACTAGTAGGTAGGACCCCATGGGAGACATCTTTGAAAAGCAAAGGAGCTTGAGAGAGCAGGCATGTCTTTAAGGAGAACCTCCTCCAAGCACAGGAACAGTTCATTCCACTACTCAGGAAAACAAGATGTATCAGGAGTCTGGCTTATCTAAACAGGGAACTCGTGACAGAGCATAATGCAAAAAGAGACGTGACATATGACATAACTCATAACAGAGAAGATGCAAAAAAGTGAACCTGGGGCTCTTGCAGTACCTTTGCATGGTTAAACATATATATAAGCAATGTTAGTTGCTCTACTACTAGAAGATTTATGAATCTTTTAGCGTTTGGTAGAAATAAGGAAGACTCTGGTACCTTCTGGCAGAGCTAGACAGGCTTAATTTTGCAAAGGATAAAGGAAAATAGATGTGTTTCCCCAAGGACATCTGGGATATTTAGAAATTATTTTTCCTCCCAGAAACACAATTTTACCGTATCCAGTATGGGATAGTTTTATCGTTCCTAACTAGTCGAATTTTTGTTATGTGTTAACACTATTCACTCTCTTCTGTGGCATGCAGTGTTCAGCAAAGATCAGGATACAGGAGGACCTTTTGAAGAAAGTATCCAAAGAATGTGTCTCAGACCGTAGAATCTGACGGTCTATATAAAAATGTGAAATAGCTTACTGTCATTAACAGGTTTCAAACTCATCATTCAACCACCAGTTCTTATAAATAAACATTTTGGTTTCTGAATTCTGTTGTCTTCCAAAGGTGCAAAAAGAAATTGAAGGGAACTGTTTAAACTTTTACCTTAGGCTACAAAGACAGTCACTTCTGATACTTCTAAGAACGCAGTGATTTAAGATTTTATTGCTTGGTGGCACAAAATTCTGTTTCAAGCTGTCTTTGCAAATGTAATATGTCTTTTTTTCCTTCTTAAAAGCACATATAAGAAACTTCTTCCTTATCCTTCTAGGATTATGGTGTTACACCAAAATACCTAACACGAAGAAATGAAGAAATGGAGAGAGCTCGGAAAGAATATGAGGCCGGTGTCTTGGAGCATCTCAAGAAAAGAGCCATGAAACAGCTCTCTGATGAAGAAAGGAGAAGTCTTCTGCAGGTGCATATTTTGGTTTAATGTAATAAGTAACATGTATGAAAGATTAAGTAAGGTAATTTAAGTCCATATAAGTAATAAAATTATACTAGATTTTTTAAGCGAGGTGAATGAGTTAGCTACTTTTTCACTAGATGGAGCTGTAGAACAGTTGTAAAATGAACTGAAGGGAGCTGATCTAGCTACAGTTTGAGTCCCTTTTTTACAAGTAATTCAATTCTGTTAGATTCTCCCTTAATGGACTGGAATTTCAGCGAAACTTCAAAGGACTGCAGAAAATCACCTGTATGGATTTAGTGACTCTCTACTTGTGAATCATGGAAAAATACAAATTGCGTGATTTTGTTGGGGGGTTTTTGTCCTGATGCATAACATTACCACTTTTATTGGCACTTTCTATCTTCACATTGTGACCTCACTGGCTAAAGCATAAGGTCATGCTTTAAAATGTGGCAAAACCAGAAAACAGAATTAAATTGCAATATATTTGACTGTAAAAATTGTATTTTTTCAAGCTGTTTGGATACTGTCTTTCATACAGTTTTTGTTGGACAAGATTTTCTAGAGGGAAATAATACCATCAAAGAAGTAGAGCAGAAAACAGACATTTTAAAAATGTATCCCGTTCTTGAGCTGGAATTTCTCATGACCACTTTTTAGCCAAATTTCCTATGAAAATAATGCTTACATTATTGTAATATCTGCTTATCAGTCTTTCCCTTAATAACTTGATCTTAGCCACCACCAGAAACAAATTAGCAGATGGATGGACATCTCCACAATCCTAAATTCCCTCCCCAAAGCCAGCAGAATATTTTGAGAGAAAACACAGTGTCTAACTCGCTTGCAAAGGTTAACTGGTTAATCAGCAAGATCCAAAATAGCTAGCATAATAGTGTCCTTTGCTTATGCAGCAAGCAGTAGAAGCTACCACGGAGTAAG